TCACCCCACCTCCACCCCCCCCGTCGCTCCCTGCGTGTACTCCCCGTAACGTGGCCCTCCTGGTCTCGCCATATGTTACCAACAGCCTGGATTACCCACACGAACATATGAAGACCTGCAGATTCTCATCGGTCTATTTTAATGGATTAGCACTTGTACGGCGGCTGTGTGTTAACTGTCAGGACTGGAGGACGCTCTTGCGGTGCCAATAAACACTGAAACCGAGATAGAGAGAGAGATATCTATAATAAAAACTGCGAACTCGTGTAATTCTCCCGAGAAGAACATTGTTTTGCAGAAATTATGCACTTAGAATAAAGAGGGGTTATTCTAGCATAGATTTATATGATAACATCCCATCACTAGACCTCCCATATGCATGCGCAATATCTCAACAGAGGAGTTATATTTTGTGATGAATATGCATTTAATATGGTCAGGGGGTATCGGAGCATAGATTTATGTAATAAATTCTTATAAGTAGACCTCTGTTTATAATTAGTAGAGCGCCCTAGCCAGTGGGGCGCAAAACTCTTACTTCACCCCCTCCCATCGTTCTCCATTGCCTCCCTTGTCCCTCGCTCAGCGTCCTTCTTCTTCTACCGCCCTCAGCTATCTTCCTTGCCACCTTTTCTCTGTCTCCCACCCTGCTCTTCGTCATCACGCTATATAGTGCAGTTTTCATCCGTCTGTACTGCACGTCTAAAACGATGTTCGTGCATGCGCAATATCTTCCGAGAAAAATATTGTTTTGCAGAAATTATGCACTTAGAATGAAGAGGGGTTATTCTAGCATAGATTTATATAATAACATTCCATCACTAGACCTCCCCTAAGAAATAGGAAGAAGTACCTTACATGTAAGGTCCCCTCTGCATATACGAGCCAGTACACAATCTGGAAACGTTAGTGTGTTATTGCATGCGCAATATCTCAACAGAGGAGTTATATTTTGTGATGAATATGCATTTAATATGGTCAGGGGGTATCTCAGCATAGATTTATGTAATAAATTCTTATAAGTAGACCTGTGTTTATAATTAGTAGAGCGCCCTAGCCAGTGGGGCGCAAAACTCCTACTTCACCCCTCCCATCGTTCTCCATTGCCTCCCTTGTCCCTCGCTCAGCGTCCTTCTTCTTCTTCTACCGCCCTCAGCTATCTTCCTTGCCGCCTTTTCTCTGTCTCCCACCCTTCTCTCCGTCATCACGCTATATAGTGCAGTTTTCATCCGTCTGTACTGCACGTCTAAAACGGTGTTCGCGCATGCGCAATATCTTCCGAGAAGAATATTGTTTTGCAGAAATTATGCACTTAGAATGAAGAGGGCTTATTCCAGCATAGATTTATATAATAACATCCCATCAGTAGACCTCATCTGAGAAATAGGAAGAAGACCTTGCATGTAAGGTCCCCTCTGCATATACCAGCCAGTACACAATTTGGCAACGTTAGTGTGTTATTGCGTGTGCAATATCTCACCAGAGGAGTTATATTTTGTGATGAATATGCATTTAATATGGTCAGGGGGTATCTGAGCATAGATTTATGTAATAAATTCTTATCAGTAGACTTGTGTTTATAATTAGTAAAGCACCATATCCTGTAGGGCGCAAAACTCCTACTTCACCCCCCTCCCATCCTTCTCCATTGCCTCCCTTGTCCCTCACCCAGCGTCCTTCTTCTTCTACCGCCCTCAGATATCTTCCCTGCCGCATTTCCTCTGTCTCCCACCCTTCTCTCCGTCAGCAAGCAATATGGTACATTTTTCATCCGTCTGTACTGCACGTCTAAAACGGTGTTCGCGCATTCGCAATATCTTCCGAGAAAAATATTGTTTTGCAGAAATTATGCACTTAGAATAAAGTAGGGAGAGTTCCTTTTTCGATGTGCCCTATCTCTGGGCATGCAACCTTTAAATTAAATCCTTAACGTCGGCCCTACGTGATTTCCGTTGGGCCACACTTAGCCGACGTGTCCGCGCTCTATCCCTGTACATTGGTATAACAAGGGACCTTCGGCAGAGCAGTGCCATCACATTGAAGTAGCGACGGTGCATTTTTCGATGGGTCGATGGGTCGAATTTTTCGACGTCAAGGACAGCGCGTAGGTGAGAAAATACAAGTGACAACAATAATAAAGTCACGATAGTCTGTGAAGAGGATTTAATAGATGATTAAAATAATCCCTTTGATAAGCCGATGTGCTACCTGTGTTACCGATGTTTTTTAGATAACGACATAATTTCAGCGAATTATGTGCTATTTATTCTTGATATGCCAAAATTGTGTTCATGATGAATCTGTAAATACGTATAATATTCATAATAAATTCAATATTGCCTAATTATGCTGTGCTTTATTGACGTTTATTGTACGTGGTAAATTTTTGTAAACAATTCCGGAGCATATCCGTAAACGTGCTAATTCGGTTTGCAGAAAGCCTTCAAACGTCCCTTGTTTCCCTAGTAAGCGCTTATAATAGAATAAAAATAGATATAGTTAAATATGTGCACTCGCAATTTACATTCCCATGAATGCTCTATAAACGCAATACGCGAACACTATATCGCTTGTCGTTTTCAATAACTTACCTGTAAATACTGTTAATATTCGTTTCGATACTTGAATTTATGATACATGTGTTGCGTTACGTATATTACACATTGTTTTGGGAGGGAGGGGTGTGAGAATGAAGAAAGGCGGCAAGAAAGATAGCTGCGGGGTGACAGAAGAAGGAGGCTAAGCGATGGATCGGACAAGGGAGGCAATGGGAAGTACGGGAGGGGATGAAGTAGGAGTAATGCACCCTACAGGCTAGGGTGCTCTCCTAATTATAAACACAGGTCTACTGATAACAATTTATTACATAAATCGATGTTGTGATACCCCCTAACCATATTAAATGCATATTCATCATAGAATATAATTATATCCTCTGGTGAGATATTGTACATTTTTATCTGGAGATATGGCGCATGCGCGAGCACCGTTTCGGGCGTGCAGTACGGACTGAAGAAAACTGCGTAATATATTTTGCTGGGGGAGAGAGGGTGGAAGACTGAGGAAATGCGGCAGTGAAGATAGCTGAGGGGCGGTAGAGGATGAAGGAGGCTGAGCGAGAGACAAGGGAGGCAAGGGGAATGCCGGAAGGCTTTGAAGTAGGAGTGTTGCACCCGACAGTCCAGGGCGCTCTCCTAATTATAAACACAAGTCTACTGATAACAATGTATTACATAAATCTAAGCTGAGATCCCCCCTAATCCGGCCCTAAATCATTTCCTGAGGCAGAGCAGTGCCACCACACTGGAGTAGTGAGGTTACTCGTGTAGTGTACTTCACTATAGTGACATGAAATAACAGGATGCTACGGCCGAATTGGAAATCTGACATCGTGTGTTATCGTGCGCAGTTCATTCTTCCGTTTTGCCACTGTCCGTTTTAAGAGCGAAAGGTCGGCCAGAATGCAACGTCTTGGTGACTCAGGGGATGTGCGACATGAGCGCCATTGTTCATCAACAGAATCAATTCTCATCATCATGTGTATTTCTTCATGTACATGGGTATTTCTGGCGATGGACAAGATTGTGGCAGGATGCTGGGGCTAAAGAGAAATTTCTAGAGTGGTTTTTACTATTCACAATTTTACCATCTATTTCGGGCATAGGTCTACCCTGAGGGCCTACCTAACTAAAAGTGCCTGAGTGTATAATACCAGAGCACGAATATCACATATAATAAAATATAGTATAATAAAATATATTATAATATAGTACAATACAATACAATATAATATATTATAATATAATATAACATAACATAATATAATATAATAT